GGGTATTCCAAGTATTCAATAAACTTCCAATCAGAACGCGCAAGACATGTGTATTCTCGCGCTATTCAATTGGAAGATGATTGAATAGGGGGAAGTTTTTGTACCCCAAATTTGCCCTACCTTTATGAGTATATCACTGTGATTTTTGAAAATAAAAATGAAAGAAAAGTGTTTCAACTAAAAATGGCCCATCAATATCTGAAGGCCCATTTGTAAGAATTCAAAACAACAAGAAGGGTGTATCCTAATTCAAGGGAGTGGGGTTTTCTAAATCAGAAAGACCCATATGCCCGTAGTCCCATTTGTGAAGCATGTTGGCCAATGGCCCATGAGATTCTAATTTGAAGGTATATTTTGTTTTAAAAAATGTGAGATTTTAATTATATAAGAAGGCCCATTAAAGGGTTGATGTTAAGTAATAAATGGGGGGGTATGATTTCAAACTACAAGCCCATTAGGTGATTCAGTTGGTCCATTTTGTTTGGTCTTTTCTGAAGTGTTGAATAGAGGAGAGGGGGTGTACGTTTCTTTCATAGGCCTAAATGATGGATGCAGTTTGGGCCTGCTCAATTTTGGTTTATGTTTGAAAACTATTTTATTATTATTATTATTATTTTAAACATTATCATTATTTTTATTTTTTATTAAATATTATTAAAATATGTTTAACGTGTTTGAAAAAGTTTGTTGGATCAAAAGCCAGTTAGGCCCAATTCGTGCTGAAAAGAAGCATTGCAGTAAACACAAAGAAAAACGGCAACATGTTGGGTAGGGCAGTGTAAGGCCCAAAAAGTAATTAAACACAAGTTGGGAAGGGGAAAGTTACAGTATGCAGGCCCAAATTAATTAAGAACAATCATTGAACCAATTATGCAGAAGAAAACACGTGTTTTATTCAACCAACAGATACTGTACAAATCTGATTGGCAAAAATGAAGATTTATTTTTATTAACTGATATTGTTTGAATGAAAAATAAATCAAATCGTAAATAAAACAGATAAATCTCAATCTTAGTACAATCCACAAATCTCATAATTACATCTCAATCAAATTAAAGTATAAAATATACAGAATCGAATTATTACAAAATAAATCAATTTTATTACGAAATCAGATCCAGTCTGAAACATTACAGATTTAATCAATTCATAATCAATTACAGCAAATGTCAAAACCCTAATTTCTCTAATCCCCTAAATCTAAGCCCTAAACAATTTGTAACAGCAATTCTCTAATCTATAAACCCAAGCCCTATAAATAGTAAATGAATAAAATACATGAAGGGGAGGAGATATTGGAGACGAAGAAACAGAGACCAAGAAGAAATTCAAACCACACTCGTTGTTGAAGATCGAAGAAGAAAATGATTAGGGTTTCAATATCTAAAACCCTAATCGTACCGCCACTGAGCCTTCGAGCACCACCGGAGCTTCCATCACCACCACCCTCGAGGACCACCATAACTTGCAAATCAGAAAGGAGGAAAAGAGATCAGAATCAGAAAAGAACATCGCGCATCAGAATGATCAAGGACAAAGGTAAGTATGACTCAACTTCTATGAGTTTTATTATTGCTGGGTTGTTGGGTTTGAATCTACGGTGGGGAATGGGTTCGGTGTAGAGCGCGCCACCGTGGTGATGTTTTAGGGTTAGGGTAGAAGAAGAAAGAAAAGGGTTAGGGAAAGAGAGAGAGAGGACGAAGAATGTTATGATTGATAATGAAATAAAAATGATGTAAAATAATATTTATGTTCTGATATATTATGTACACGCGCGCCCACTAGAAATAGGATGCTTCCTCAATTACATCCATTAGATCATCATCGGACGGCCGTAAGGCCAAGTCCCCATCATATCCCATGCACCCTCACCTACACAATTACCCAGGCCTCTCAAAAATGTGTAATGGGCCAAGCTCAATTATTTTCACACCCCTCTTTGCTTGTTTTACTTGACCAGCTTGAATAATACACCCCTACCACTGGGCCCAATTCAATATCTGAACTTGGGCCCATTTTCTCAACAATCCCCTATTTTGCTCGCTAGTCAAAAAACGTACCCCCAGGCCAACTGGGCCTGAATTCAATATCTGAATTTAGTCCCTCACTATCTACACCTCCACCTTTTACTTCCTAGTTCAAATTACACCCCTCCCCCTCCGAAAAATTATTTTATTTTTTCTAAATTTTATTATTATTATTATTTTCTTATTTTATTTTCTTACTTCTTTATAAATTATTATTACTATCTTTATTTTTCTAAATTTTATTTATATTGTTATTATCATTCAATATTATTTTCTTCAAAAAATCATGTATAGATTTTACTATTAATATTGCATTAAATTTTTTAATCATGCATTAATTAGAGTTTTCGTAATTAATATAATTAAAAAATACTCAACCAATATTAAATCTTCTTTTCGAAATAAACTAATCTAACAAGCTATTTTTGCAAAAGGGTTCCAAATCTATTTTGACTAATCACACATTTAGTCCAAAATTCCGCTATCTTTACACCCAGTCTAAATGCGAGAAAATTCAAAATACTTTTGAAATCTATAAAACACACAAACCCATGCGAACTATGAAATGAGACTCTGATTCCTCATAAGAGAATATGTAGGCATACAATTAAAGTCGTGGCGAGTTTCCCTATATAAAATTAAAACCCTTTTTTATCTATTTGTTAAACCTAAACCCCTAAGCCTAGTATCCTTACGAATAAGAAAGATGAAAGGTGTCTAACACCTTCCTTTCGCCTAAAGAAGTCCGAAACTTAGAATCTCTATTTTCCAAACAAGGGTTCTCTATTAGATTCCCTTCCTTAGGATAAAAACTAGTAGTGGCGACTCTGATTTTAAATCCAGTCGCAATAAGTGAACCAGGATAAAAATATTTGTGTTCATTTATTTTTATGTTCTAAGTTAACATGGTATTTCATCAACGAAAATATTTAATTTATTTTGGTGAAACCCAATTTGAACCCTCTTTCTTGTGTTTATCACACATTCAATTGGCATCAAAGCTCCGGTTTTGGTATTGATAGTTATCAAACACTTAACCATGTCAGATAAAGATCCAGAGGAGTTTTTATTTGAATAAACACAGTGGTTGAACCCACACCAACTAACGATGCTTCAGATTCAAACGATAAAAGCTACAATGTAAAACCTCCCATCTTTGATGGTGAAAAGTTTGAATACTAGAAAGATAGACTAGAAAGTTTCTTTCTAGTTCATGATGTTGATCTTTGGGATATGGTAGTCTATGGCTACGCACCTGTAGCGATAATAAATGTAGCGGGATAAATCGGAGATCGAGCTATTAATTAACTCGACTCACAAAAGCAAGAGTCGCCACCGCACTTTATTATTTCCAAGGGAAAAGGGAAAAGAGTGAAATAAAACCCTTAAATATGCAATATAAAGTAATACTTAAAAGTAATGAAAATACAATGTGTTTTTTGAAAAGAGATCTAGAGTTCGGGGGTTGGTTATGCAATGAGATGGTATTAGCACCCAATGCATCTACGGTACTCCGCAGGAACCTTTTGAAATATCTGTTTTTAAAATTGTTTGTTTGATTAAAAAGGTTATTTTGGTAAAAATGGGTGTGGACGAGATTTTGAAGATGCGACGACCTAACGCTGAAGTTTTGACTTTTCTAGGAAACTTAACTTAAGTTTGGCAAAATAGTAAAACAAAAATAAATGAAGGAATTTGCACAATCGTAACAAATATATTTGATGACATGAAGTCAACAAAGTTAAAAAGTTTCCCTTGAAATAAATCGAGCGAGCAAAACAAAATGGACATCAAAATATAAGCAATTGAAAATTCACAAGAGAATAAATCTAACGAAACAGATTAATGGCCAAAAGACCCGAGAAATTAAAATGACAAAGATATTTAAATACAAATAAAAGAGAATGGAACTAATTATCTAAATTAAAATTCTAAGATTACTAAAATAATTCTAAACTAATTACAGATTCTAAGGTTATAAAGATAATTCTAAAATTACTGAATTAGATTTAAACTAAATTAAAATTCTAAAGTTATTAAATGAAATCTAAATCAAATAAAATTCTAAAATTACTAAACTAAATCAAAACTAAATAAAAATCCTAAAGTTATTAAATTAAATATAAATCAAATAAAATTAAAAAATTATTAAATTAAATCTAAATAGAAATTTTAAAGTTATTAAAGCTCTAAAATTACTAAATTATATCTAAACTGATTTAAATGTAAACTAAGTTAATTATAAAAGAAATGTGTGAAAACAGAAAATTAGGGGGTGGTCTCAAAAAAAAACTTAATCAAAATGTTATCTCTTTGTTCGAATCTCACAAACCGATGAGTATATTCCCTAGCTCGGCATGCCTTAAAAAAGGCTCCATAAATTGGAACAAATCTACAGGCCAACCTTTTTGAAGATTTCCAGTCGGTGTTTTTGGCGTGAAGCTCCTGTGACTAACCAACTCCAGCCAAGCAAAACTGAATCAAGGAACTTTGAGTGGCTTCAGAGCGTGAAATACATTGGTAAGTCCAGTCAAAATCTTCTTCTCCTCTGCATCTTGCACAATAAATCTGACAGTAACTGCTAGAATCTTGGAGAAAAGAAAAAGTTTGCTTGATCCCTTCAAGATTGAGAAGACAAGCTTTGCATAAATATCAATTGCTAAACATAACTCAGAGTCGTGCAATGCAACTTTGTCGCAATATTCATGCTTAACCATCTCAGTCTCAGGCATGCTTTGAAGATTGATTGATGGAGTACTGCTATGACATGCCACAAATAAATGTGCCTTCTTAGAATGTTCTTGACAAATAGTTTCATTTAAAGAAGTAATTTTTGAAGCTTTTTCAGGTAAACAACCTTCAGGGAAAAGACTTGCACCCTGGCCAGTTATTGGGGCTTCTAGAGCAGCCTTAACATTCTCTTTCTTGTCCTACAAAACTGAGGAATTCTCTATCAAAGATTCTCCATATAGTTACTTACCAACATGATTGGAGCCACTGTGAGGGAACATTGCAGCCAAAGTAGTGGCAGATTCCCACAAATCAAAATTTAAAACTATCATATTCGGAACGGTGGCCAATTCATGTTTAAGCTTGAGTTTCTCTTTCATGTACCATTCTGAGACATAATCCTCAATAACATTTCTAGGAGGCATAACAATATTTAGATTCAAGTACTAGTAGAGATTCTTAAGTGCTTCTAACTCAAAATGATGAAAGGGAAAATCATGTGCAAGGATGACCGAAGCACATAAATGCACTAATAGTGGTTCCATTTGATTTTCATCAACTACCTCTCCAACTGATTCCATATTATCTTGTGAAAGTTCTTCAAGCACCATCGGGAAACTAGATGGTGGAGACGCGAACAAAGAGATGAATGAAATAAAGAAGAGAAAGTGAGAAGAAGTGTTATCACCAAAGAGTTTATTGTGTGTCGTCGTTTGTTGGCTACACGCCTTAGATTTTGGGTTTTGTAATTATTTAAAGGTCAATCTTGAAATATAAAGAGAAAACTCCTAATATTTAGAATTGGTTCCAATTAAAATTTGTATTGAAAGTTGTCTTTGAATTTGAAACACATGAATGATGAATAAAGTTGAATTTTGAGAAAGGTCTTGGATAATGCTTCTTTGTAACTTGGATGAAATTGAATCAAACTTGAATGGTGAACATTGAATTAGAACTTCATCCTTGAATGAATTTGAGACTTCTTGAATGAATTTTTAATGATGAATGAACATATTGTATTTTCTTCTAGAATTCTAAACAAATTACATGAATCGATCTTTAAAATTGAGCAAACTTGCATCATGATAAATTAGATCTTTTGTATATCTTGAATCCAAAAGCAAATTCATATGGATGAATTACGCCTCGCACACTTGAATCGATTTAAAATCAAAAAGAATTATTCGAATTGATCCTCAAATCTTCTTCTTTAAAACCCATATCGTTAATTCGTGGTAACTTGCAATACGAGCCAATAATACAAATCGCACCTTTAAGAGAATTAATCAACAATACACCTTAATCCAAAGATCGCTAATGTTCAATTGCAAAGGATTTGAAGCATGCGACAAGCAATCAATGAATCATTGAACTAGAACTCTAGTTTCATGAATTATCCCAACATAAGAATCAAACGTCCTTTGAGAAAACGTATGTGGCATAAATTGAACCGAGCACAATTTGACCTCGATCTTTGAAGTAATCTCATAGACAATGCTATTTGTGATACTTCGCAAAAAGAATCGTCTCAGGATGTTGAGAATTGAATAAGTCATGATCGTTTGAACTTGATCTTGCAAAAAGTTGACTTTTGGTCGAAGTGCTTTAAATCGTCTCACATAGCCTGATCTTTTCTTGCATTCCAAGACGCATTGAAACACATGTGAACCAGTGATGATGAAATCTTGTTTGTGCTCTGAGGAAGTTTTGGAGAAGCTTGAGACCACTTGTCGAACAAGGTGTGGAAATAAACACACGATCCTCTGAAGTTCCAAAAGAGATCTTTGATCAAAATGAGATTGAACGATGCTTGAGACTTTATGCTCTGAGATTAGGGGATGTGCCTTGATGAATCAGTCTTCGAGAATCCATAATCAATCATACTTCTGGTTTAGGAGACTCAAAACTCTAATTGAAGCGCGACGCCTGATACTCTTGATTCAGACAGGTCTCTGCACATGAAACAAAAGAAAAAAATGAACATACTGCTTTATATGCGATTAGAAGTTAGTGATACATAGGCTAAAATTGTTCAAAACACTTGACAATCTTTGCATAGTCAATGCTCAAGGGTGAGAGTTTAAAATCGACCATATTTCGTGACCTTAACTTTTGTATAAAATGCAAAAAAAAAATGTAAATGGGATCTTAGGTCAAAAATTGGGGTATGACAGTACCTCCCACAGACTTTATTGGAAAAGTGATAGCTAGGAGAGCTATGACTGATTAACAAAAGAAAGATTATAAGAATCATCATAAAGCAAGAACCATCTTGTTGAATACGATTTCTTACACTGAGTATGAGAAGGCCACGAACAAAGACTCTGCTAAGTCTATATTTGACTCTCTTAAAATGACCCATGAAGGAAATGATCAAGTCAAAGAAACCAAGGCACTGACCTTGATTCATAAGTATGAAGCCTTCAAGATGGAGGATGATGAAAGTGTTGAAGCCATGTTCTCAAGATTTCAAACCTTGGTTGCACGAATGATATTTGTGAACAAAGGATATTCAATAGCAGATCATGTGAAGAAAATTATCAGAAGCTTGCCATCCAAATGGAGGCCTATGGTAACTGCACTCAAGCTTGCAAAAGATCTTAGCAACACTTCTCTAGAAGAACTAATAAGTTCTTTAAGAAGTCATGATATTAAGATAAAACAAGATGAACCGCAGAGGAAGATAAAATCTATTATGCTCAAATCCATCAAGAAACATGAGAAGTACAAAGCTCTTCAAGCAGAAGAGATAGAGGATTCATAAGAAGATCTTGATGATGAAGAAGATGAGTTGTTTGTGCTATCCAAAAGGGTTAACCGTCTCTGGAAGAGAAATCAAGGCAATAGGTTCAAAAGTTCAAGGAGGACTGGAGGTCGCTTCGAATCAACTTCTGGTCAAAAGAAGTCTAGTGGCAACGGAATCACTTGTTATGAGTGCAATGAGCTAGGACACTACAAGCATTAATGTCCTAAGATTCTAAAGGATATACCAAATAAAAAAAGCTCTCAAAGGTAAAAAGAAAGGGATAATGGAAACATGGAATGATCCAAACTCTTCTGACTACGACTCAGAAAGAGAACATGCTAACTTGGCGCTGATGGCTCATGTTGGAACATCAAGTCAAGTAATCCCCACAGAAGATGAAGCTGATTCAGAAACAGAAGATATATTCAGCAAAGAGGTATCCTATAATATTACTCATTCTGAATTAACATATTCCTTAATTGAAATTCTGGAAAAACATGAGTTACTCAAGATTCGGTTCAAGGATCTCAAAAAGACCCATGAATTTGTATCTGTTGAAAACAATACGCTTAAGGAAGAAATTTTTGTTTTAAATGAAGACATTTTTTTATTAAAAGATGAAAACTCTTCCCTTAAAGGCACGAGAACCCTTCCAGAAGCCTCTGAAAGTTTTGATGATGTCATCAAGAAATATGACAAAGCTTTCCAGAAATTTATAGATAATAGCATAGGGAGAAGCATGCTAGCTTCTATGATCTATGGTGTAAGTAGAAATGGAGTTAAGGGTATTGGTTATGATCCTCATGAAAATTATAAATCTAATAAGGAAAACATACCAAACACCATACACTCTTATTTTGTGTCTGCTGGGTTTGTGCTAAAAGAAGATGGAAAAGATGAAGAGAACTTGAATTCTGAATCCGATGAAAATCAATTGGCTAAACCAAATAGTTTTAACACTTGTAAATATGATTCTTCTACTGCTGAAACCAAAGTTGTTCACAACTCTGGTAGAACTAACAAGAAAGGACCCAAGAAATTATGGGTACCAAAAGATAAGATAATATATGTTTCAGACATCTTTAGCAGTGCAATTAAAACACCTGTCTTGGTACCTAGACTCTGGCTGCTTACAACACATGATGGAAAAAAGGAATATGTTCCAAAGCATGGAACTTAAGACTTGAAATGTCATGGGTTTCATAGGTGATCAAAAGGGGAATATTATAGGATCCAGAACAGTAGGTAATGGTTCCTTTCCCTCTCTAACTAATTTTTTACTTGTTGAAGGATTAAAATATAACCTATTATCCATAAGTCAATTAAGTGATAATGGTTATGATATAATCTTTAATCAAAAATATTATAAAGTTGTTAGTCAAAAGGATGACTCTATCCTTTTCAATTAAAGGAAAAGAAAGAACACTTATAAGATCAGACTTTTTGACCTTATAGAACAAAAGGTAAAATGTCTCATTCATGTTAATAAGGAGCAGTGGACGTGGCACATATGTTTAGGTTATGTTAGCTTGAGAAAGATTTCTCAGCTGAACAAGCTTGAACTTGTCAGAAGCCTACCTAAACTGAATTTTACTTTAGATGCTCTTTGTGAAGCATGTCATAAGGGCAACATTTCAAAAACTTCTTTCAAAGAAAATAATGTTGTTTCTTCCTCCAGACTATTGGAACTTTTGCATATTGATTTGTTTGGACCAGTGAAAACTAAGTCAATCAATGGAAAGAAGTATAGATTAGTTATGTTAGATGACTACAGCAGGTGGACATGGGTGAAGTTTCTCAAACAAAAGGATTAGTCACATTATGTATTCACTACCTTCTATATCCAAGTGAAAAATGAGATAAGTCTTAATATTGTCAAGGTTAGAAATGATCATGGTGGAGAATTTAAAAATGTTTTTTTTTTGAAAAATCATTTGATGAGAATGAGTTTTCCCATAATTTCTCTTGTCTGAGAACTCCACAGCAAAATGGAGTTATTGAGAGGAAGAATAGGACTTTGCAGGAATTCGCTAGGACCATGATCAATGAAACCAATATGGCAAAGCACTTATGGGCAAAGGCTGTAATTACATTGTGTTATATCTTGAACAGAATCTCCATAAGACCTATTAGTGGAATGACTCTTATGAATTGTGGAAGAACAAGAAACCTAAAATTTCATATTTTCATCTGTTTGAATGCTCTTGTTTTATCCTAAACACTAAAGAAAATCTGAATAAGTTTGATTTAAAAGATCAAGGTTATATCACGTTAGGTTATTCTGAACACTCAAAAGGCTACAAAGTATATAACATGGAAACACTTTCTCCTGAGGAATCAATTCCTGTTAGATTTGATGATAAGCTTGACTCTGAAAAGTAAAATCTAGTTGATAAGCTTGCAGATGTGAAGATTACCTTTCAGAATCTGAAGGTAATATAGTTGTTGCTGAAGTACAAGAAGTAAGAAGATCAGAAGATGTTTAATCATAAGCTTCTAATTATCAAACTTCTATGAAGAGGATCCTACAAAGACTATCACATTATGAAAAGATACGTCTAGGGTTTATGTGTTTGATAGAGTCTACATCAATTGATGGATCACTTTAGGAAAATGAATGGAAGCTGACAATTTAAGAAGAATCAAAATAAGCTCTACAAGAAGGACATTTTAGACCTA